AGCTATATAAGTGGTCTTATAATTATAACCTTTAATTATAACCTATAAGTGGTCTGTGAAGCTGTGGATAAATGCAACTGTTCAAGGATGTACTTCAAAGAACAAACTTACTGGCCTAAAAAGAAAAGGCATCTGATAATGACACATACCCCTTTTTGACCTGGAACCCCTAAATATGTTTCAGTAATTCCCTTAGAACTGTTCTGATTTATCTCCACCAAACACTTGAGCGCTGCTTCACCTAGAATGTGCCCTTTCAGGTTTTTTCTTTTTTTTTTTTCTTTCAGTTTTTGTTACTGTTTCAGTTTGCACTTTTTCAAATCTTTTTCTCCCATAGCCATTAATAATAACAACTACCCCTGAGCCCCAAGGAAGGAATTTTGCCTGAGTTTTATTTGTCAAACACAATCAGCAAATGTTCCCAGCTGCCCAAAGTCACTTGCTGGGAGCCCTTAAGTCCACCGTGATCTGAACCATGCATGCCTTGCTCCCCCAGCAGTCCAACGTGGACATCTGTCATCCCATGTCCCCATCCAATCAATGAGACTAAGTTAGTCTAGTGTCCTAGTACACACAGGGGGCAAAGGGGTGGCAGGGGGCAGCCCAGGACAACAGGCCAATGCTGTCTCTGCCTTTGAGCTATATACGAAGGCGAGGGATTCCGGGGCTCTGGGTGTGTTTTTGAAGAAAGCAGAAAGTGGAATAGAAGTAGAAAAGTATCATCACTGAATATATCATATTCTCCTGACAGAAAAGAAACACTGACAGACTGGTCCCTCACAAAAGTCCTAGAAAAGGAATTCTGCCAAATTGTAACCATAGTTTCAACCTCAATTAGCTCTGCAGGCGGAGGCCAAGAAATGCTGACCCCCAAAGCCTGATTAAAGCTTGAAAATGCTCAGTTAATTAACTCTTCAACATTTCCCTTCACTGGAGCTTTTGTGACAGGAGCAAATTAGTAGCAAAACATCAGACTTAACTCTCTTTTTCAGACGCCTGCCCCGAACTTTGGGAATTGGGCAAACAACTTTGACATAAGGAAAGACTGAAGAAAAATAGAAAGAAAGAAAAAAAGCTCCCCACAATAATGAGTTCATAGACAGAGAGTGATTGTACTAAAGTAATGCAATGCCAAACTAGATCACTATAAAGGACTAAACACTTTGTTCTTTAGGATAATGCTATACCAAATTTGAAAATATGGAATATTACGAGATGCAATCTTGGCTTTATACAGCAAATGTTCCGAACAGCTTCGGAAATCAACTGACCCAGTAATGACTGGCTAAAACCATGGCCCCTTGTATGCAGAATAATGAATCCCTGGCTCTTCCCTAGGTCAGGAGACTCAAGCTGGGCTAACTGTATTTGCATAAACAAGACACACCCAAAATTAGAGATTAGATAACAGCTAACCTCTGTGTTACCTGGTCTACTGTTGCAAAACTAAAAGCCTAACTAACTAAAAGCAAAACTAACCCTAACCCTACCCACGCAAGGCATACACAGCACACACCAAGGCATCTGGCATCTCTCTTAACCTCACAGATCTGGGAGGCAGACTTCTTAACCTAGGCAGTGTCACCAGGCTAAGACAGCACCTGTGGCTCACAGTATTCAAGTAGCTGGTGTCAAGTCACAAGAGTCACCAGGAACAGGACCTAGAGAGGGGCCTAGCTGGTCTCCAGACACCTGTCCCCATCTCGCTACTAACCTGCTGCGCTAGAAGAACAGGACTTCCTCTAAAGGCTCACATGTCACCGTCCCTGAAGGAAAGAGCTCTTGGGCTCTGCTCAATTCCCAACCAGATCTGGCCACTTTTTAGGAGCCCCATACCTGCCTACTGCCTGAAGAACCAGGCCTGGCATCCTAGACAAATGGCCAGAACTCCCAAGTGGGGCCTGATTGGGTGTCCCCAGGATACCAGTCTGAGAGCTAGAAGCTAGAAAATCTTCTAACACAGCCCAGCTAACTTGTCTATCCACGCCTCTATAAAATTAAAGCCTGGCTTAAGTAATTGCAAAACTTTCTGTCTGTAAACATTCTCTGCTCCTACAGTTGGGTTTCCATCACTTCACTCCACCTGAGGATTTCTTACCCCAGGCATAGTTCTTATCACCTAGTCCTGGGTTTCAACTGTCATCGGGCCCTGTCCTCTGTCAGGATTGTTTTCCTCATGCCTCTCAGTTGCTGTTCTCTGGTACTTTAAATTCTGTCCCCTGAATCATCAGCTGGCAAGTCTCATCATTATCTTACATTAACCTGTAAATCAAAATCTCTTCAGCAACGTGCTATTTTTTGTGTGTTTTTCACCAAATCCCTTCCCATCCAATCATATGATTGTGAAATAATGAATTTTCTCTCAAGGTCACTCTTTAAAGAGACCTTTTCCTCTCTTACTGATTCCCAAAACATATAGACATCGATTTATGTTGCCTTATTTTGGTAACTTTAGTTACCTCTTTATCTCTGCCTTTTGATGTTTTTCTTTGGAGGTTTTGTTTTCCTTTGTAATTCTTGATTTCATCTTCATTCCTACTGCCATCTTCCGAAGGACCCTGATGCCACCCGAAACCCACGAGGAGGAAAAGGAGAAGGAAGTGGGAGAGGCCCTTCACATCGGCTGCTCTGCCAGGGCATGAATGGAGGCGCCACGGGCTCTGTGCCACCACATTCCCATCCCACAGGCAACTTTCTTTCCCAGAAAAAATCAGAGAAATGAGTTTCCAGAAGGAAAAATGTTAAAACAACGGGGGAGCCAGAGCAGCTGGGGGTTGTTAACTCTAATCAACGTCCAGCCAGGATTTTTTTAAGCAACAGGAAATAGATTCATTCTCTTTCATTTTTTCATTCTGTCTCTCTCTGACTCTCTGTCTCTCTGTCTCTCTGTCTCTCTGTCTCTCTGTCTCTCTGTCTCTCTGTCTCTCTCTCTCTCTCTCTCTCTCTCTCTCTCTCTCTGCTGTAAGGAACTCCAAACAGTGCAATGCAACAACACAAATCCCTTCTCTTCACGATCAGGAAGCCTAAAGTCTACAGTCAGCTTCAGTTGGCTGAAATAAAGCAGTTGTGTGGCCACTCTCCTCTGCAAGTTCTAAAGAACCTGTTTTTTGCTTTTTTCAGCTCAAAAAGCCACCCAATTCCTCCCTCCACTCCCTGCCTCTTGCCATCAGCACTCCTGTGCCTGCTGTGGACTCTTCTAAGAACTCCTATGATGGCATCTAGGGCCCATGAGTGGCCCAAGGCAATCCACCCATCTCAAACTTTTTTTTTAAATTTTATTTAAAAGGAAAAAGAGAAAAACACAAAACAAAACAAAGCGGTATAAGGGTACAAGTAATACAGAACTACAAAAAAAAAACAGTAAGAAATCACCAGTTAATAGATGACATATTATCATCTTAGAGATAGCTGCTCAAATCACAGTATCAAAGCATACAAAGTGGACATTCAAACAGTGAGACTGCAAACAGTTGTGTTCAATGATCCAACCAAAGACATTAATATGGTCAGCTATTTAACACCCCTAAACACACTTGCTGTTGTATCCTTTAGAGCTCTTTTTTTCCCTCTCTTTTTTACAACAAAATTTACACATTTTGGGTTTTATTACTCCTTAGTTCTTATTACTTTTTTGGGGGGGAGAGAATAAAGTCAAATATGGCAAAACAAAGCTGTCAGTCAAAACCAAGGATAGACATAGCACATGATGTAAAACAGAGTACAAGGTTATCAACAATGGTTATCAACAATGTCTCGTTTCCTTAAAAAGAATTGTCTATCTCATTAGATATTATAAAGTTGAACAAAACAGTAGAGGACAAGACCAATAAAACTTAAGCATTGTAAACATTACAAGACTTCCAAAGGAGACAATAGTCAAACCAGAATAGGCATCTTAGTGAATCTTATTGCCTTCAAAGTAGTTGCCTATACCCTCAAACTTGATACTATCACACAGAATGGAGCAGAGTCTAATCAGTCAAAACAAGATCGTGGGAGTATTACAGGACTTCAAAACAAGTTAATAGGAAATCAAAAAAAGTTACTATTATATATCCTGCTAATTTTTTAAATTTTCCCCTTAATTAAAACAAACATAATAAATAACTAAATAATTTTTTTAAAGAATAAGAGAGAGACTGAGATAAAACAGGACATAACAATATAACAATACAGGTCAAATACTGTTTCAGCAACCTAGTGCTCCACCACCAAATAACCCGACTTAATAGTAGTTACCATAGTGTCTGTCTTTTTCCTTGAAATATTTGAATAAAACTTCATATACTATAGCTTCAAATATTTCCATATCAAGAAACCCAGAATACAGCCTTTCCAATTAATAAGTGAAAACTTTATACCATCTCAAACTCTTGACTTGATCACATAGAAGAGACATTCAGAGCCCAAGATGTTGGTATCTTTGGGCTCGACTCATCCCAAAGCACCTGTGGATAGTTGGTTTCCTGGATAAGTCTCCCTCTTTCCCCATCCACTAACAGATACCAAGTTTTATGAACGAAGGCCTGAGTGACAGGGGAGACGAGGGGAGGGGGTTGCATGGTTTCTAAACACTAACACAGCTGGGTGCAGTGGCACACACCTCTAATCCCAGCACCTGCAGCGGAGGAAGGTGGATCACCAAGAGTTCAAGGCCAGCCTAAACTACATACTGGGATCCTGTCTCAAAGAAATCTAACTAAGTAAATACCAACACAGAGAAATCCCATGAATTCTGCCCCCAGATCTTCTCTCCCGCCCTGCTGGGTAGCAAGTCATCTGCTCCGCATTCAGACACACGAACACCAACATCCTTCCCCACACTCAGGCCCCTGAGGTGTGGTGACCAGCTGCCTGTTCTGTGGAACCTCAGGTCCCAACCACTGACCCTCAGAGCCACAGCGCCCCCGGACTTCCAGAGCTGAACCACGGGCTTATTCCAGACTCCAAGGGTCCCAGGCTGAGTGAGGAGAAGAGGACACAGTTCTGCTCGAACTCACCAAACCTCTTGTAACCGAAGGACTGCACCTCCTCCTCCTCAGGGAAGTCGTCTGCGGGAGAAGAAAAGACAGCATTAGCCCAGGGCAGGGGGCTCACGGCTTTGGGGCACTAGTTCTGCTATCCCTTTGCCACAGCGCCCATCTTAGCAGCTTCCTTCCGTCTCCGGGGCTGTGCCCACTGCCTGCAGTGACCTTCCTGCGTTTTTTTTTTTTTTTTTTTTTTTTTTGACACAATGAGGATTGAACACATGGCTGTATCCCCCGCTCATTTTTATTTTGAGCCAGGGTCTCACTAAATTAGACTGGCCTTGAACTTGTGATCCTCCTGCCTGGGCCTCCTGAGGAGCCAGGGTTACAGGCATGCACAAGTGTGCCCAGTCTTTCTACTGTTAAGGGGACTTTTAATTTAGATCTTTGCTGCCTAGTGGTTCTTTCAAATTGCCTTTTTGCAGCGAGCTGTGGTGAAGCACACCTGTGGTCCCAGTGCTTTGGATCACCCTGAGTTCAAGGCCACATAGCAACACCCCATCTCAAACAAAAAAAAAAAAAAAGAAAAAAGAAAAGAAAAGAGAAAGAAAGAAAAAGATGCCTTTGGGAGCACTCAGCCACTGTCACACAACATTATCTCAGTATTACTCTCTGACAGCTTCCTTATTTTCTCCTGTGTGTATGTGAGTTTATTACTGTCACTGTGCTGCCTGTGAATGGGAACTTTTCCTACCTAGATTCAAAAGACTAAATTTCCAATGGCTAAAATTAGGCCTAAGGACAGAGACTCAATAATTGTTGAATGAATAACTAAAGTAATCCATGTCCAAGGGGTTCAAGCCTCAAATGAGAGACAAGTTATCTTATCTAGTAGAGCTAGGTTCTGAAGTCATAGCTGCTGCCACCTCTTAGGAGGCCAGCAAAGTGCTGCAGGGACCTCCAGACACCGCCCCCTCCCCACTCTGCTTCTATTGGGTCACTGGGACCAAGAAACAGCACCTGGTGATTGTGTCTCAATAGCAAGCCTGGCATAGGATTCCTAGGCTGGGAGCCACTGAGGATGCCAGAGAGATGCTATACTGGCCAAACTTCCTTCTGAAAGGCCATCTCCTTCCCCCGTGGACACAAGGTGACCCCTCACCATTTCCACAGAGAACTCGCATGCTGTGTTTCTGACAGCTGTGGGTCTGCAAAGGGCAACCACTGTGTAAATAAAATGCCATATGAATTGTGCCAAGGACACTTTTAATGATGAGTAAGAGATGTCATAGTGTCAAAGTCGGACCTTATCCTCTACGACAGGGTGAAGTCCCAATAAACCCAGAAGAAATCAGACACATAGTAGGTCAAAATGCATTTAAAGCCTGGTGTGATGACACACATCTGTGATGGCTGAGGCAGGAGGATTGCTGCAAACTGGAAGCCAGTTTGGGCTACATCGTGAATTCAAAGCCAGCCTGAATTACATGGTAAGACCATTCTCAAAACGAAACAAACAAAATCCCCAAGTGCACTGAGTAAGAGTCATCCACCCCACATCTCAGCTCAGGTCACAGCATACTGCAGCATACTAGCTGCTCCCCTAGCAATCACAGGTCTCATGGGGGCTGCTACCATCCAACATCCCCACAAAGTTCCAAACGGCTTCTTTCAAGCTTGGAAAAGGACCCAAATTCAAAATATAGTTTCTACAGAATGAAGTTTAAAAACTGCTGAAAAATCATTAACTCCAACACAGCGTTAGTGCCTTCTGCAGGGAAGAGCATTCTCACAATCAGAATGGCACTTTCCCACCAACTCAGTGATCTCAATGACCTGCACAGGTCAGTCCCTGACTCTTTCAGCCTGACTTAGGAATCTATAGTACTAATAGCCCAAGTGGTCAAATCTCAATCTCTCTCTCTCCTTCTCTCTCCTTCTCTCTCTCTCTCTCTCTCTCTCTCTCTCTCTCTTTGAGACAGGGTCTTACTCTGTAGACCAGGCTGGTCTTGAACTCACTATGTAGCGTGGACTAGCCTCGATCTTGAAGTGATCCTCCTGCCTCAGCCTCCTGACTGCTGGGGTTACAGGCGTGTGCCACACCTGGTCTATTCTCAAAGAGAAACACTTGCCTGCTGCTGCCGTCACTGCTGCTCAGATCCACTCATCTGCTTAGTTACTCACTCCGTGTGCCCCTCAGCACCCTTGGGGACCACGGGAGCTCAGGCATCGCCCGTGAACCAGTGCAGTAGTAACACAGCTATTTTTTTTTTTTGTCTTTTTCTTTTTTATCAGTACTGGGGATCAAACTCATGACTGCCTGCTTGCAAGGCTGGCACTTATGCTGCTGAGCTAAATCCCCAGCCCCGACACAGCTATTTTTTAAATAGCTATTCTAAGTAGTAAGTAGTTATAAATGTTATGAGTAGTAACTGCCTCCCACAGACTTCACTGTCCAGGTTACTTGCACTACTGGATACAATCAATGTGAGGCCTCATGAGTGTAAATGGCTATTACACTTTATTGTTTAGGAAAGAACGACTGTGCAGGGGACAAGTCTGCACGCATTCAGTACAGACGCAACTTCTTCCCCAAATATTTCCATCACAGCTGACAGCACCCCAGGGTGAGGGGGCGACTGGGGGCTCCCAGCCTGGCCTAGCTGGCGCCATGAGGCTGTGTGATGCCACCCAGACACTGGTATCCCCCGCTGCACAAGCCACCAGCAGCCCCCTGCAACACAACCTACTGGGACCCTGCGGCTGAGGCGACGTCGCTGCTAGTTCACAGCCACCGCAGAGCAGCAGACTCAGCATCTCCCCACGCCTGGGTGCAAGCCTGGGGATGCTGCTCCCCCAAAGCTGTTTTCCAGCAGGGTGACTATTCATTTGTTTGCTTTTCCCTCTCGTATCTTTTTCCCATGTAGCAGCATTTAGCCTGAGTCTTTTTCCTCCAGTCTTTTTCCTTGTTGAAATTTCCCTGGGAATTTACGTTTCTCATATTTTTGTTATTAAAGCAGTTCAGTTCTGTCCCTGCCTCTTCCTCCAAATTAACACACTCAAACCCACTAGGGCTCAAGGGAACAAAGGCCTAACAGTGGCCCACAGACAGTGTGCAGAAGGGTCTCCCGCATCTCATCTCAACCCTCGCCCCCAGGACTAATTAGCCTCTTTTATTTTTTTTCTTTCACAATACTGAAGATTGAATCCAAGGCTTCAGCACTGAGCTACACTCCCAGTCCTTTCTTATTTTGAGATACAACATCCATAAACTGCCCAGGCTGAGCTCAAACTTCTAAGCCCCCTGCCTCTGCCTCCCAGAATGCTGGAATTACAGGTGCATGCCACCTCGCCCAGCTGGATTAGCCACTCTTATAACAGCTATTTAAAAGAGAATAAAAATATTTCTGCCTCATCCAGTACTGAAGGTAGATAGAAAATCATCCAAGACACAAGGGCCACTGATAAAACACTACAGATAACTTCTGACTGGGTCACCAGGTAAGGATCTATAGAGAAGTGCTTTAACTCACTCTTGCTGAGTTTTGTGCTATTGGGGGAGGGTGACTGAAAATGGTACACATTTCAACCCTTTCACAGTGGCATTTTTAACCATTTGAGACTCTGAAGGGTGCTAAGAAAGGAAAACAAAAATTCCTCTAGCTTTGTTTTATGTAAGTGTTTTCAATTGTTGATTCTAAAAATCCTCTTTTCCTAGCCTTCAAAGTCAGGTAGAACTGGCCCCAGAAAAGCTCGGGGTCTTTGTCAGCTTTCAGTCACTAACAAATACCCAGACAGCCAAGCTAGAAAGAGAGGCTTGTTTTGGCTGACGCACTGGAGGCTCCAGTCTATGCGTGTTTGGCCCCATACTGTTGGGACAAAGAGACAAGCCCACTCCCTGCATAGATGCAAAGTGAAAGACCAGAAAGGGAAGAAGAGACCAGGGTCCCACAGTCCCTTCTAGAGTCGCCCCCAATCACCTGGACCTGCCCCCCAAGCTTTCCTCCACTTCCCAGCTGGGGACCAAGTCTTCCCCAGCCTCCGAGGGGTCTTCCAGAACGGAGTCCAGAAAGGAATCCAGAACCAAATTCAGTGCTGGCCTCCTTCTCAATTCAGGTGCCCCCACTGACAGGAGCAGGGTCAAGCTTGAGGAAGCAGGAACCCTCAGTGCTCAGGGCCTTGTGGACAGCACCACTGAGTACCTAAATCATGCAGATGAAGAGACCTCATCCTGGGACTGAACATTACAGAGGGGAAAGATCCGTAATCACCAACAGGTTTCAATGAAGGCGATGGCCTGGGTTAGGCGTGGTGGCGCACATCTGTAATCCCAGTGCACAGGAAGCAGATGCGTGAGGATCACTGCAAGTTCGAGGCCAGCCTGGGATACACAGTGAGACCTTGCTTTAAAAAAAAAAAAAAGACAGATGGCCCAGGGCCCCGTGTAAGGGTTGCAGGCATGCACCACCACACCAGGCCGCAGACTGATGAAGAACACAGAACAGAATTCTGTCACTGAATTCTTTGAGCCCTACTGTTCTGGACCTTTCATTCAGACGTCCTGGAGGCTCACACAAACTCAGAGGCTCCAGTCGGCCTGGGACCAAGTTGGGGTACAGCCCTGCAGTGAGACTTTGCCATCTTACCCTGCACTCCAGGCTAACAGTGCAACCCAGTCCTGTCCGTCTGCCTGATTTTCTGGCTCTGGTTCTGATGCCAACAGATGGAAAGACGCCCGACACCAGGAACCTGTTACAGGCTTCCTCAGCACCTCGCATGTTCACGGCACATGGTGGCGCTACTTCTCGTTGAAAGTCAGGCAAACTAGAGTTATCCAGGCCTCGGACTCTCCCACTAGCTCAAGGACTCCTTAAAGTGAGAAAGAAGTTAGGTCTCTCTCTTTCCGAAAGCCCACCATGTTTGGGGAAGATGAAGCACCCACTGAATACCAAGGCTTCACGTTTTGTTATGTTCCCTATTTACAGATGAGAAGCCTGAGGCCCAGAAGAGTCACAAGGCTGAGGCATAAAGAACATTCTGAGTTTGAGGCCAACCTGTCTCAAATAACCCTGAGACACTGTCTC